TCGCCGTTTTATGCAACAGCGGCTGAGGGAAATGCAGGATGCTTGGAAAGTGCAAGTGCAAGGAAATTTAACACTACGCAGACCGCAATGGATGAAAAAACTTCATCTCTGCACTCAAGGCCATCTATCGTCCCATTGTCAAAAGCACAGCTACTTTAATCAGCACTGATGAATCCGCCTTACTCACTGCGTAGGCACGGATTCTGCAACGCTGGGCCGTGCACTTCGAAGTCGTACTCAACGGCCCTTCCATCATCTCCGACGCCGCCATCGAACGCCTGTCTCAGGTAGAATTCAGTGCAGATCTCGACCTTCCATGTGCTCTCGAGGAAACTACCAAGGCTGTGCCGCAACTCTCCAGTGGGAAAGCACCCGGCTCTGATGCGATCCCTGCGGAGATTTACAAATACGGTGGCCACCAACTCACCGTTACCCTGTTGCGTTCTTCCAGGAGATGTGGCGATAAGGCCACGTCACCCAGGACTTCAAGGACGCCACAATTGTCCACCTCTACAAGCGCGGGGGCAATCGTCAAGCCTGTGACGATCATCGTAGAATTTCGCTGCTGAACATCGACGGGAAAATTTTCACCGAGGTTCTCCTGAACCGTCTCAACAAACACCTCGAACAAGGACTCCTACCAGATAGCCAGTGTGGTTTTTGCCGTCATCGCGGAACCACTGGCATGATCTCTGCTGCTGACTAGTTGCAGAAGTGCAGGACATGCGCATTCACATATATATCTCTTTCATGGATCTAACAAAAGCGTTTGACACGGTAAATCGCGCTGGACTTTGGAAAGTAATGCAAATCTCGCGCGCGTCATGGACGACGGAATGGTTTCCGAAGTCTCTGCGGTGACCGGAAATAAAGTTAAAACAATACCGCATGTTTGCTCTCCATATACTAGAATACTGTTATCCACTTTTTGGTCTTATGAGCAGGGCTGACCGTAGTAAGATTGAAAATGTTCAGAGAGTTTTCACTCAAAAACTATTTTCTCTTTTTGGAGCCAGTATTTCTTATACGGATAAATGTAAATTAGTGAACATTTATTCTCTGTGGGAAGAAGACTTGAAGCCGGTATATGCTTCTTGTTTTGCGTTTACAATAGCCCTGATCTCACACAAAGTAAGGCTCTTACTCCGGTAAACCGACCTTACGCCACTCGTTTATCCTCAATTATAATTTCAGTACCACATCTAACAGTTCTCGTTTTTTGACTTCCAAATCTGCTTACATATAATAACGTCTTCCGCTCAAAATTACCTTATCGTCTGCATCACCCATTAACAAAATCAAATTACGTTAACCTTTACATTTGGAGAAAATGAATTCGTGACTGTCTGCTTCCTTCCCAAACACGCAACTTGTAGATTTCGAAAACGGCCCTCCTGGCATTTGAGGCTCCGCCCAGGATAGTAAAGTGGTCTCTAAATATGCTTACATTTTCCTCTGCAGAGCCAAGCATAATTGCCAAATAATGCAAATACTTGCCGTTTTTCAACCCCGGTTGTGTTCTTCGAGGTAGCTGTTGATTATCATCGTGGGTTGTTAGTTGTCGCCAACTTCTCTGTGGATTCTGCAATCTAATGGACCGTATCTCGGTGATACTACCGTGATATCTACGGCTCCCTCCTAGTTTCGACCGCATTGTCCTCGACGAGCTACTCGTTTCTCGTCCCCATGATACTATATGATTTTTTTCCACGACAAGGAGCGTTCCGAACCCTCATCATCTTTAGCCCATCTCATTGCATCATACCTTTCTACCCATTCAAGCAGTATTTTCACCTATATTTTTTGGAAATCGGTGGCTTGTTGAACTCTGCCAGCGATGTAGGGTTTCTTTCACTGCCTAACGCTGTTGACTATTATTTCATAAGTTGGTCTGGTGTAGATCGGATCTGACTTACCATGTGTTACACACTACTCCTTCCTATTGTCATACAGTTGCTTACGCTAGCTGTAATTACCAACTTTTATTTATTTTTACAACAGCACTAAGTTTGTAATGAAGGGACCCCTTGGACTTTAATAAACAAAATTTATTTAGTTATTTAACTGTCATCTTTTGGGTGTATAATATCGGCGGTTTACTTCTGCACAGCGCACGATAAATATGTTGAACGTTCACATGGTCCAATTCTTTGCATATTAAATGGATACCAGTATTAGGGCGATGGAATTCTTCAAGAGGAATATTTGCCAAGGTTCTCCTTGCATATGATTAGAGTAATGGTGCAGAAGTTCACCCACGTGAACACATGGCAACAAGGGAGCCAATTTTAAGCAGGATGCTAGTAAAAACACGCGGTTTACTTGCTCATAAATATAGTAAGACTATAGTATTGGTTTGTACACCC